TCTGCTAAACAAATATATCGCCATGTCTGCCTAATTAAAAGAAACATGAATTATATTATTGGCCTATCCGAGTCATGTGATTAAGTAAGAGTTTTAAGTTCTTGGTTTTTCTTCACGTCACTTTCCACAATAAATGTTCACTGTCTGTTCACGTGAACAACATGTTTCGAGCCAATGTGACCATCGTCAGGTTCAATTCCTCGCTTCCGTGTCATTTCAAATTTCCTCATGTGTCCGTCATGTCTGTCTGATTTTGGTGACCCTAAATGCTGTTGTGTGTGAGGTGTCCTACAACCCTGACGTGCAGGGTGTTGACTTAGCCTCGGCTACAACTTTGAACCGGTACAGGGCTGATCTCGGAGTCCAGAAAATGTAGCTTTGATATACCATTTCCTGTTTCTTGTTGAATTAATGCCAGATAATCTAGCGACTGTGTAAATTATAAAATTGTTTCTGAGTGTATCAAACTGTGTGTTTGTAGCAACGGGAAATATAATTGAAAGGTCACGAATCGTACAGTACCCAGTTTTCTCTGTAGGCTGTAGAAATGGCTAGTTGGAAAGTTACAAGGATGTAATTTAAAAGAGACATTTTTGTTTGTTTTTTATCAGTCGCCCGTGAATTGAGAACGGACGACCGCGCGACAGGGTAATATTCGTTCAGTTCCCGCTCTGTCGGGTGTGAATTATTCTTTCGCGTATCCATCCTGCCAGATGCACTCCCCCTCGTCGCTTGGTCCTTTATCACGAACTCAAGAAGGAGGACGAGGAAGGTCTAGGCTGCTTCGTATACATGCGCCAACCCGGGTGTTCGTTTGTTCAGTGCCGCGAATAGAACAGAAGTGCGACTGTGACAAATTGAAACATGTTTTGAAGACGTGTGTGAAAAGTTATGAAACTTGATTTCACTCTAGCTCTTTTCATCGTCTGAACGAGGCATCTCGTTTAAAAATACTGCTCTTATGACGAGAATAACTTTAAATGTAATGCTGGTAAGTATGTGACGCGTTGTGATGCCTATTAATGCCAGTTCAAACGACTCTATTTAATTTGTCGTCCACTGTTCAAATGTGTGCTTGTACAAATCGAATACGCCGTCTCAACTTAAATAGATTCATTGCCGACAGGATTAATGCAAATTCGCGCAGTCACATACTTGCTTCACTTTAAAATTTCAGTAGAGAAGACCTTAATCTGTCGTAGAAAAATTCGGATGTTCAACTCCGCTAGTATCGAAGTCTTGTCACTGTACGTGATCCTGAGGTGGTTTCATCGACCTCTCATCTTTAAAATGTGTTTTCCGAAGATCTTACAGTTCTTTATCCCCTACTCAGTCTTCTCGGTGGTTGCTTTGCAAGCAGTTTTCCAACATAAATGCATGTAGATATTACTGCCCACACATGACATGCGTGTCCAGACCACTGTAGCCAACTAGAAATCATAACAGTAGAGGTCACATCGTATCTTTTACCTGCAGGATATAACGTTTCGAGACACCTTTCATTAGGGGAAATATGACTCATCTGATTTACATAAGAGGGAGAGTAATTAGGTCGTATTAGGTAATTACTCAGAATAAAGCAGAACCATATTTCATCTTCTCATTTCTAGTGCTCTACGTCAGATTAGGATACTCCCAGATTTTGGTCTAGAACACACAAGAAATAAGTTGTTTTTGATTTTGAACAAATCGTTTGCATTGATATTCAGTTGTCGCATCGGCAAATTTACAGCGGCGAAGTTATTCACACTAAACACAGTGAAAGTCTTCATCGTTGTGCGTCACTTCGACAAATGTCTGAAAGGAAAATAAATGTTTTGTGATTTTGAGTGATTACCATACGTTACGTTAGTTACTACCATGAGATGATTTGAGAAGACTGATAAAGTTTGGCTTTAGATTCATTTAAGGTGTCCCTGAAGATGGAGGCAATATATTCCTCCGAAACGTTGGTACCCACCAGGTAGTTCACACGCCAGTTCAAGACAAAATATCAGCCTGGATATCTTTACCGTCGTAAGAACCGGTATTTACCATAAAATCCTGAAGAAATCCACGAAGCAACTCGTGATGCTCGGTGACCTGACCTGCAATCGAGTTGCATCATCCGGAATGCAGGTTGTGTCGAGATACGGGCTCTGTTAGCTGTGTCTCGAAGTAATGAACTTCGGGTTGGATCAAGGATTTGGCGAATGCGAGTAATTTTGACGTCTCGTTCGATTTCTTGGCGAGGATTGAACTCCGAGGCAGTATGTGGGAGCGGTGGTAGCGACTTGCTGTATTACCTCGTGTTTCATGGCTGCGCTGATAAGAAACGACACGGATCTTCGCAGAGAGCAGAGAACGCATCTCGACGCCGGCACATCACTTCTTCGTATCGTACCTTTCTGTGTTATTTTTCGTTTCCAAATCCTCCGCCAGAGGAGTTGTAGGTAGACCTGTTTAGTGGAACGTTGAGTTTACAGTTTCGTTCTTCAGTTACAATTGTAAGGTGCTGTTTCTTCGTCAGGTACACCCGGTAGTAGAAGTACCACTCCAGAGCAAAGGGAAGGAAAGTATAACGAGGGACAAAGCGATTTCTGCGAAGAAGACGATAAATACGGGAGCATTTTTCGTTGAAGCAATTCATTATCTTTATCTTTCTACTCCTTTGTCTTTGTCAACATCGCGTCTCAGTGATCTCTTTTCTTGTTTTTTCCCCAATATCTGCAGATATGGTCAGCATTTATACCTCCAGGAATAGGGAGCTAGAACGTTGAAAGCACAAGATGAAAGAGTGCGGATGATAGCGCGAACTTCTCCCAGCTCTGTGCTCTGTTGTTGTTAACACAGGAATAAAGCAAAATGTCATAACTTCTGTTGCCGTGTAAATATAAGGGATTTTTCTCTTGGAACAAATGGTATTGTGGTAACACTGCGAGGTGTAGTTGCGCGCACCTAATTTTGAACCGTTATGAAGTGGTATTTATCGAGGATTTCCTCTTTCAGAGGAATGGTTCCCGAAGGATTTATTATTATTATTATTTATACAAATTTTATTATTATTATTAGTGTTCTGTCTGAGGACAGGTCCATATGAACAGGATCCTTCCATCCTTTTCTCGGACTGGGACCTGTTCATATACGTTCTTGGCAGATGATCCAGAAGTGGTTTGCCATTGCCTTCTTCTGCGTGTGAAAGGAGTAATTGTTGGGATGCCACGGAGGAAAACTCCGGGCTGCCTAGACCACGGCCTTGCCCACCACAAGTTATAAATTCG